TCGGCTCACTGCAATCTCCGCCTCACAGGTTCAAGCAATTCTCCTGCCTAAGATTCCCAAGTAGCTGTGATTACAGGCATGCATCACCATACCCAGCTAATTTTGTATTTTTAGTAGAGACACCATGTTGGACAGGCTGGTGTTGAATTCCTGACCTCAGGTGATCCGCCTGCCCAGATCCCAAAGTGCTGATATTACAGGCATGAGCCACCACGCCTGGGCTGGCTTCTTTTGAAAGGTATCTCTTGAATTGAAAGGTCTTCTTTCTTTCTCTGTTTTGAGTGGGAATTATTCCTTGACTCCCTGGGCTGGAAGTTTTTCTTTCTGGTTCTCTGTTTGGAGTGGCGATTACTCCCTGACTACTGGGCTGGAAACTTTTTCCTGGCTCTTTGTGAGGCCTTCTTGCTCTCTGTATTTAACCCTGGTTCTTCTATGAGAACTTCTCAGCTGACCAAAACCCCTCTTCTTGACCTCCTGCTGTTACGATGCTGTACCAGCTCTGTTACCTGCTTGTTGTTGGCATGATTTTGTTGAAGATGATTTGGAACTTCCCTCTTTAGGAAACATAAGGTCTCCGCAGACTAGCTCCTCTAAGACCTCTCTCTTTTCATTACCTTCGCTCCTCCTTCTTTTGGTTTTCCCACCAGCTCCTGCTATCTTCCCTCCAGTTCACTTGCACTCTTTGATGTGTCTCCCTTCAGCTCCCTACCTCCTCCATCTCTCTGTCTACCCCTGCCAGACCTTTTCCTTCTCACTCTGGGGCATGCATCACTTACACTTAAGGTCTCTTGTCATTATCAGGGGCTTCCAAGGGACTCAGGATCCCCTAAATCCAATGTCCTGAGGCTGAAATGACAAGGCTAATTGGAAATAGATGAAATATTTTAATTACTCAGGTGGGCTTTGGAGACACTCAGAAAACTGCCAGATATCTTCTCAGTGTAGAAGGTGGTCTACAGCCTCCATAAGATACACATCAGGGGAAAAGAAAATCCTAAAAGTCTTCTGATTCATGGTTGTTAACAAGAAATTCGAACAGATTTTTCCCCCCTTTGAGTAATCTGCCTGTGAAACTAAGATCTTGTGTCTTATCAGAGCATTTTTTTTTGTGCTTTATGTTGACATTTATTATGTCCTTGATTACTGAAAATAAGGTAAGTATTGTTTTACAGTGATCTGTAATCCTGTTTAATCAAGTGTTCAAACGGTCAGAAGTTTTTGACAATCTCCAAACATTAAATTCTCAATGAAATGTTCTTGTTCTTGAGATGACTTTGAGATTTCCTAGAGGGACCCTGAAAATTTTTAAGGATTTGTTCTTTCATCTTGTAAAAAGAGAGATGTTAAACGAATTAGGTTAATTTGACATGTTAAATATGTAAGCAGAATGGGAGAAAGTTATTTGCAGACTATTTATTTGAGGGGTTAATATCCAAAATGTATAAGAAACTCCTACAACTTAATAGCAAAAAGACAAATGTATTAGGCTGTTCTTGCATTCCTAGAAGGAAATACCTGAGACGGGATAATTTATAAAGAAAAGAGGTTTAATTGGCTTATGGTTCTGTAGGATGTACAGGAAGCATAGCAGTTTCTGTTTCTGGGGAGACCTCAGGAAACTTCCGATCATGGCAGAAGGTGAAGGGGGAACAGGCATCACACATGGTGGGAGCAGGAGCAACATAGGGAGTCAGGGGGTAGGTGCCACACACTTGTAAATGGCCAGATCTCACAAGAACTCACTATCGTGAAGGCAGCATGAAGCTATCTGCTCCTATGACCCAAACACCTCCCACCCTGCCCTACCTCCAGCGTTGGGGATTGTAATTCAACATGAGATTTGGGTGCAGACAAATATCCAAACTATGTTGACAAATAACTGGACAAAGGAATTAAATAGACATTTCTCTAAAGAAGACGTAAATGGCCAAAAAAGAATGTGAAAAAATGCTCAGTATCAATAATCATAAGGGAAATGCCAATGAAAATTACAATGCAATATTACCTCACACATGTTAGGATGGTAACTATAAAAGCAAAGCAAAACAAAACAAATGATGACAAGTGTTGCAGGGATGTAGAGAAAACAAGTGAAAAACAACCCCATTAAAAAATGGGCAAAAGACATGAACTTCTCCAAAATCATACAAGCAGCCATCAAACATATTTTTAAAAATGCTATACCTCATTAATCATCAGAGAAATGCAAACCATATCCACAAGGAGACAACACCTCACACCAGTCTGAATGGCTACTATTAAAAAGTCATAAAACAACAGTTGCTGGCAAGGCTGCAGAAAAAAGGGAATGCTTATGCACTATTGGTGGGAATGTAAATTAATTCAGCCACTATGGAAAGCAGTTGGAAGATTTCTCAAAGAACTTAAAACTACCATTCAACGCAACACTCCCATTACTGAGTAATATCGGAGAGCATTTAGTTGTGTGTCCCCACCCAGATCTCATGTTGAAATATCATCCACAATGTTGGAGGTGAGGCCTGGTGAGAGGTGTTTTCATCACAGGGGCAGGTCCTTCATGAATGGCTTGGACCATCCTCTGGTTGATAAGTGACCTCTGCCTCTGAGTTCACACCATTTAAAAGTGTGTGACGCCTCCCTCAGCCCCTTTCTCTCTTGCTCCTACTTTCACCACGTGAAGTATCTGCTCCCGCTTCACCTTCTGCCATCAGTAAAAGCTTCCTGAGGACTTCCCAGAAGCAGATGCTGGTGCCATGCTTCCTGTAGAGCCTGCAAAACTCTCAACCAATTAAACCACTTTTCCAATAAATTACTCAGTCTCAGATATTTCTTTACTGCAATGCAAGAATGGCCTATTACAATATTCTAAAGAAAACAAAGTGTTTTACCTACATATTCATCTCAGCACTATTCACAATAGCAAAGACAAGGTATCACCTCAGGTGCCCATCAGTGTTGTATTGGTAAAGAAAATACGGTACACATACACCATGGAATACTATGTAGGCAAAAAGAAAAATAGAATAATGTCCTTTCTAGGAACATGGATGCAGCTGGAAGCTATTATCCTAAGTAAATTAACACAAGAACAGAAAAACAAATACCGCATATTTTCACTTAAAACTGGGAGCTAAACATTGAGTACTTATGGACATACAGATGTCAATAATAGACACTGGGGACTATTGTAGCAGGAAATGGGAGGGGCAAGGGTTGAAAAACTAACTATTGGGTATGACACTCAGTACCTGGGTGACAGGATCATTCATTTGTACTCCAAACCTCAGCATCACATAATGTACCCAGGTAACAAAGCCGCACATAGACCCACTGACTCTAAAATAAAAGTTGAAAAAATGTGCAGTTTTAATTGTACGTCAATTATACCTCAATGAAGTTGTTTTAAAAATTTTGTGGAAAGGCATGTGAAATAAGAGATGTTGCTTTTCTGCAAATAAATAAAAGAAGAGATGCTTTTTCTTTTCCTAGATTATATTTGTATGGGTGAATATTACATATGTAGGCATTATATTCATTGTAATAAGATTGTATGAAGGTCATAGAAATTTGCCAGTATCTTGTTGTGTGGTTTTTATTTTTGTTGTGTGTCACAGAAATAACCAAATTTTCTTGTCATGTGAAAGCTCATCAGATATTTAGAAATGTTTATGAAACTGTGAACCACAAATCAAGCAGATAAAAATTAATTACATGGAACTGAATGAACTGACAAAGAGTGACTGTGGTTTTGTTTGGAATATTGCTGGTAATTTAATGTTTTATTTTCCAGATTTAAGGAATCCTGTTCCTCTTTTCTCTTAAGCTATCCGTAACTTACAGCAATTTGGTAAAGCATATCTTTGTGAACAGAGATGAAACATTTATTGTTTTTCCCTACCTGGTCTTTCCAAAATTTGTAAACTATTCTTAAGTATTCTTATCATCCTGGCAATATAATTATTTGCATAAGTTCGATAAGAATCTGTTCTCCTTGTAACAGAATAGAATTGGAAAAATTAGTTGTTTTACTAAGCCTTTGACTGGAATGTCATATCAGAAAATGATGTGCATAGAAACTGGCTTTAAGAAACAACAATAGATTTTATGGGGTCGATGCTTACAAAGCCCTCTTGGGAAACCTGGCCTGGTACCTGGCTCATAGCATTCCCAATCATCTACGTAAGGAGATCACTTTTTGGCAGGCTCAGGAACCTCAGGATATTGTGGGAATCTCAAGAAAAGAGGAATTCTCTGAAATCTGTGGTTACCACAAGAAAAATCTGGTGGTGAGTTCTTGGCTTGGCTTCCTGGGCTCAAGGGGCTTTGAAAAAATCTAATCTAAAATTCCTTATCAAAGGTCTACTTGGTCAATGACTCTTGCTGCACTTATGTAAATAATCAGGCTTAATCTAATGAGATTAGATTCATTTTGTAAACGAGGTCCAAAGGAGGGTGATTGTAGAAATTTTGTTTTTGTGGAAAATTATCATGCACCCTTGTGGGCATTAGATTATAATCCTGTTCATTTGAGTGATTTTTTGCCTCTTTGTAAACTTCATTTTCCTCCCTTGTTATCCATGTATAAACTGGACTATATCCTGAATTATTCTAGTTTCTTCCATATCTGGTTACAATTCTCTAAACTAATGTTTCCATTTTTTTCCCACTCTCCTGACTTGGCATCGCTGATAATTAAAACTGCCCTTTTCCTGAAGCATTACAAGCTGAGGCTAGATGAGTTATCATAAACTACCAAAAAAATCACAGCAGATCATGTACTGACAAACTCCATGCCTGCTGCTGTGTGGGCCACTCAGGCAGTTCACCCAAACACCCAATGCCATCACCAAAGACATCCCAGTTGCAAGCCAGGATATTTGTCAGATGACCACTGCTGTCCTCCTTCTACCACCTGAAGAGACCTGGAGCCCAACATTTTAAAATCTTTTTGACTGGCTGCTTTTAGGACTCAAAAGCTGGCATGACTAATAATCTTTGTTTTTATTTTGTTTCCACAGAAATTTTCCTCATTAAATGCCTGAATGCTTGCACCATACAGCAAATATCCTCTGCTATTAGGTCCCAACAGGTGACTCAGCTGGCTGTTAATGAACAATTTGGTCAAAGGTGAGAAAACAGACTTACATTCTTTGTTTTTCCTTGAACAAGTGCAGGGACTGACAAAGATCCTCTCCTTGATGAAACTCTTAAGTAGACTCTTTGAAACTCTCTTCTCAAGCCTTGAATTTTGGGTTTCTGTGTTCATCTTTACATCCTTTGTCCAATTTTAGCAAGAACCCTGCTAACTTGGTTTAGCTGGTATTACCTGTCCATGATACTTGATCACCCTAGATACCTGATAGAGTTTTCCTCCACCATCCCCCAGGTGATGTCTGATCACCCTGGCCTGTCTTCAGTAAGAAGCCTGTTAAGTTGGTTTACCCTGAATACCCCTTACCCTATTGTTTCCTCTTAGTGACTTTTCATCCAGTGATGCCCACCCTGGTCCTTGTCTTTACATTCCCACTTCTCCTTATTGTCTGAGAAGATGAGCTCATTCTCTTTCTCTCACTGCAGAGGTCCCTACTTGTATTGCAATAGTCTCCTCAAACAAAGTCAGCCTTGCAGTTCTTTAGCAAGTGTCATTGAATAATTGATTCTTTAACAAAGAACATTAACATTTGATCCAAACAAGACTTTAGAAAATTTTACTGTACTGACATTGTGAAATGCTGGAAAAGGAAATTAATATTAAAATACAAATTGTTTTTAGAAGGGACTTTGCCAACCTTTTGTGTGGCTGATTATATAAATGTCACAGTTGGTTCAGTTGAGTTCCCTGATGGATTTTGTTATTGCCAAGCATGAGCTTGGAGATGAGTTTGGAAGTAGGGGCTGGTGATATTGAATTAATCTGCATTATATAAAATGAACAGAATGGTAATTACAGAGGAAATTTTAGCTAAGAAGGACAGCAAAACTTGGAGAAAAGCAGTCCCTCGGAAGTAACTTAATGGATGAAAAACTTCGTATCTTAGTTACAATAATGTTACCATTACGCAGTTGTACGTACCTGATGTACCTAACAAGGCTGTATTTGGGATGATTTCCTGGTTGATTAAAAGCAGTGTTTCTAAAGGTAGTCAAGTGGGGGGAAAAAGAAAAAGCAAAAACTCACTTAAAAGAAGATACACAACAGTATTGGCCTGAAACAAGTTGGTTCTAGCCATACCCACGGGGTTTCGTATCTGCAACATTAAAATCTATGTACTCAGTTTTACTTTGAGGGCAAGATCATGAAAATTGATTATTATTATTCTAATGGAAAGTTGTGTTTTATAATTCCCCAGTTGAACCATCACTAAATTATGTGGTAAGAATGAGTGGGTGGGGAAGCACAACCGGACAAACTGCTGTCAGGTCTGCCTACTTCTGCACATAGTTGTAATTTGTTCCAGGACTGAAGAGGAAAACAGCGTTCTTTTCATTCAGATGTACATTTATTCTACCATTGACTATGCTGTGACTTGGCCCAGAAAGTTGGTCCCTCCTTTGTCATCATATATTAGATTCGTATCTATTAAGAATTTTATTGTGCTTACAGAACAGAAAAAAAATCTCATAGAATTCACATTCTCAACTTCCCTTCAAGATATTTGTGCGAAATTTACATTGAATAAACTTATTTTAATTCCTTTGACTGCAAAGCTTTTGATCTTCTCAATTGGATATGTGAAGCAATTTACTATATGCTTCCTTTCTATGTAATAAATAAATAGTTGTTGAAATCTACATATGTGGCTTCTTAAATATTCCCATGTGTTCTATCTTTTCTAATGAATATATAATCATTTATTAGACATCTACTAAATGCTGGGCACCGTTTGAGTGTCAATGGCACAACAGAATCATTGTGTCCAAGAGATGATGTAGGAGATGGTAAGAGGTGGAGGGCATTTTCAGTTGGACGCTTGTCTTTTTTCTTGCTTTGTGTGGTGTTATATGTCTGCTGGCCAGGCAGAGGGTGCTTAGATATTGTTGGATTACCAAATGATTGTCTATACAGTTGCCCTCATTTTAGGAATTGATTCCTTTCTTATCTCTAATTGATTTTTCATCTATTCCCTTTGCCTATAAACCTCTTGTGATGATGAACTACAGAAAAAGCAGAAGGCCTTAATATGCTATGTAATCTAATATTATATAAAATCTGATCCAACTTTCCCATTACTGTTATTACTGTCTTCTTGCAACACAGGACTTTCCTTATTGAACTGTAATTATTATTATTATTTTTTATCTTGTCCCAGAACACTATGCACTACTTATTAACCTAGACCTGTGGTTCCTAAACTATGGTATCACAGTGAATTTTGTAGGATCATTTCAGAGAATTTCAAAAGACTGAGGGAAACACAATAATGTTTGTTAGACACTGTGTAAACTATTAGCTCAAGGTAATTCACAATTTCAATGTTAGATTGCACTACATTCCTTTTGATAATGTCATATCTTTGGGAAGCTGAGTTTTCCGAACTTGCTGAATAATTTGGAATCTGGATGAATGATTTCTCTATTTTATCTGATGCTTTTTCTATTTTTTAAAAGTGTTTTTCCTCTTTCACTGTATTTTCCATTTATTTGGAGAACCACATGGAAACAGACTAAATGTGAGTTTGAGGAAGCCCTGAAGCCAGTTTCAAGTGTATGATGACATCTCTCTGGTGGTCAGGTGGACCTGATTTTTTCTATATACCATTTCACAGTGATTATTTTTCTTCCTGTATCTTAGCCACAATTTTTAAAATGGTTTCTTTTTTCTGTTTCACAGTCATTTTCAATAGTAAGTCTCTTGTTACATATGTTATTGTTTGAATACCAGTTGATAGCTTTTAAAATAAAAAAAGAAAGTAATAACAGTTTATACTTCTGTGTGAAGAAAAGTGCTTTGTTCCTTTATACTTGGTTTGTATTTGAAAATATTAATGAGTCCCCTGCTATCAACATAAAAAACATATTTAAATCAAAATAATGAAGTGAAGCATATTAAGTTCCCAGATACCAAAATATGTTTACTGTGTCTGAATATTTACAAACAAATAATTTTACTTGGCAGTAGAAATATAAGCAAGACTGAATTTCATAATTTAACAATCTTTTTTCTTATTATGAATATTGATTTCTTCAGTTATTATATACACATAATGAGGGTTCTATCTAGTAAGTCTTACCTATTATTTTCTTAAAACAATAATTTAAAAAAAACAACCTCTATCTTTCTTCTTGCTATTTTGGAAAATATAATAGACAACTAAGGGTATAATAGACCAAAAGAGCTATGTCCAGTAAAAACATATTCCCAGAAAACAATATGTGGAAATATAATTTATGACACTATTTAAAAATATATATCAATCTTAGTATAAACTCTGAACTAACTTAGTTTGAAAATATATAAAAATGTGACCACTGAAGTTCAAAGGTCATATGAATGCCAAGCAAAATGGTCATAGCCAAGCAGAATGTTTTTCCCATAGGCATTACTTTCTTTGTTAAAAAATGCTACATAAAAGAATTTTAAGATTTGGCAGTTTTCTGAATAGAAATATAAATTAGGGAAGCTACACAATAAGTTTGCATTGACTCATAGGTTGAGAAACAGCTTTCATAAATTATTGAGATATTTTTCCCACCTCTACTTAGGAATGTTGTAAACTGATTTAGACAGATAACTTTCATATAGCTCCATTGAGAAAGGTAACCTTACAGTCTATCACCTATCCCAGTGTTCAGAGGTTGATGCTAGGCAAGTTAATGAAACATGCACATTTTCCCAACACATTCTTTCATCTCCCCATTTGTGTGTCTCTTTTAGAACCCTTGCACCTTGCCTTTCAGTTTCTTGGTGGTGCTTGAATGGAGGAAAGGAGTCATACTGGGGAGATAGAGCCAAGGGTTGCAAGTCTTGTCTAAATCTCTTACTGTACAAACTTTGCCATATCATCTTTACTCTTTGAGCCTCCTTGATCTTCACCATATAATGGTGGTAATAATACGTACCTTTTAGGATTGAGATAATTGCACACAAGGTCAGTTTTCCCTCAGATGGGCTTTGGGGTGGGTTAAAATTATACCTCCTTTCTTAACTTCCTTTCTGCCCACACCCAAAACGTATTGAAATTGCCAACCCAGTCCATTCCAAGATGGCCAAACAGGAGCTACAGATGGTCTGTAGCTGTACAGATTCATCTCATTGGGACTGGTTGGACAGTGGGTGCAGCCCACGGAGGGCGAGCTGAAGCAGGGCAGGGCATTACCTCACCCGGGAAGCACAAGGGGTCAAGGGATTTCCCTTTCCTAGCCAAGGGAAGCCATGACAGATGGTAGCTGGAAAATTGGGACACTCTCACCCAAATACTGCACTTTTCCAATGGCCTTAGCAAATGGCACACCAGGAGATTATATCCTGCACCTGGCTGGGTGGGTCCCATGCCCATGGAGCCTTGCTCACTGCTAGTGCAGCAGTCCAAGATCAAACTGTCAGGTGGCAGCCTGGTAGGCCGAGGGGCATCCGCCATTGCTGAGGCTTGAGTAGGTAAACAAAGCAGCCAGGAAGCTTGAACTGGATGGAGCCCACCGCAGCTCAACAGGGCCTGCTGCCTCTGTAGACTGCACCTCTGGAGGCAGGGTATAGCTGAACAAAAGGCAGCAGAAAACTTCTGCAGACTTAAATGTAACTGTCTGACAGCTCTGAAGAGAGCAGTGGTTCTCATAGCATGGTGTTTGAGCTCTGAGAACGGACAAACTGTGTCCTCAAGTTAGTCGCTGATCCCTGAGTAGCCTAACTGGGAGAAACCTCCCAGTAGGGGCCAACTGATGACTCATACAGGCAGGTGCCTCTCTGGGATGAAACTTCCAGAGGAAGGATCAGGCAGCAATATTTGCTCTTCTGCAGCCTCCACTGGTGATACTCAGCAAACAGGGTCTGGAGCGGACCTCCAGCAAACTCCAACAGACCTGCAGCTGAGGGACTTCACTGTTAAAAGAAAACTAACAAAGAGAAAGGAATAGCATCAACATCAACAAAAAAGACATCTACACCAAAACCCCATCTGTAGGTCACCATC